TTTTTTTCTTTCTTGTTAGTTTCATCATTCAAAAAGATTATCGATGTCGGTTCTTCTTACATGCATAATCGTGGTAATTCTCGTTCGATTCGTGTGGATGGTGCTTATTCTACTATCTATCTCGCTGGTGTAACTTCTACCAGGAGTCTTTCTACCAATGCTTCTCTACTCGGCGATTTTGACGGACAAGTACGAAATGTCTTTGCTCGTATCAATCAAACATTAGTGGAACAATATTGTAGTGAATTACATGATCTAGTATCAACGACTGCGTTTATTACTAATGGAAATTTTAGCAAACGATATGCAGAACTCAGAAAGGAAATATTCAATGGACGTGATTTTCCAGCAAGCGCACTAATTACGATCACATCTTTGGCTAATGAAGAAATGCTAGTCGAAGTACAAGCAATAGCAATAATACCAACGAGAAATAAAGAACAGATTATTCGTTGTAATAGTTTCGTCATTTTCATGTGTTTTTTCTTTATCCATCAACTATTTTCCTAAAGAATGATCGTCTGCACCAAATATATAAAAAAATAGAAAGTCATGCAAAATTTTGTTTTTTTCCTTTCATTTACTCAGTGACCATTAGTATAGACACTCTTGACAGATTTTCACGTCTCCTAATTAAAAATTGCAATTATTTTTTTCATGTTGAGAGACGCCCTTGTTGTTTTCTTTATCGATTTCTATCGTATACACAAACATACATGTGCACGTTTTTTCATGGTCATTACTAACAGTGGAAGGAAGAAAAGGTTACTTATAAAAGTACAAGTCAAAACATAACTAGATATTCATTACATATTCTATTCAATGATATCATCGACGGAAATCAAAACAATTAGTAATGAATTCTTTGACCAACAAGAAGAGTTAAGTCAATCTTCAAATAATGTTTCTCAAGAAACGGTAACGTCTCTGCTTGCAAGTGGATATTCATTCATTAAATGTCCAGAAGATGCCATTAAATATCTTTTTTCTAAAACTCCTTATTATCTAAGACGCAAATTTAATCGTAAAAAGATTCGTCATGAAGTAACTTCGGAAGAACTTGATTTTGCTGCTGAATTTGGACGATTTTCTCAACGACCTAGCGATCTTTTTCTTAAAGTAAATAGAACTTAGAGATAAATAAAAATTAATTATATTCATTTTTAGCTATTTTTCAATGTAATCTGTACACTTGAATATGATTCATTAGCTGGTCGCGTATCACCAGCATTAATTGGTTCGACAGGAGTAATTCCTCTAACAATCATTTCTACTATACCCGATATTATGCAACACTATTATGATGTAATTGTTCATGCTCAAAAAGAAGTTTTATTTGCTACGATGTATTGGCAAAAAAGTGAAAGTGCAAATACGATTGGTAAAGCATTTCGAGATTTAAGTCAACGTGCTGGTGATGAAAATCGTCATGTTATTATTAAACTTATTATGGATCATCCAAAATTAACAAATGCACTTCCTTTTCATTCCATTATTCCATCAAGTAAATGGACTGATTTTAATCTTCCAAGTCCAGAAGAAATTCCAAATATTTCATTAGAAATTCAAAATTTTCATCGTGCTATTATGGGTACATTTCATGTAAAATTCTTAGTTGTCGATCGAAAACTTGTACTTTTAAATAGTAATAATATTCAAGATCGACCCAATCTTGAAATGATGTCACAATATGAAGGTGAAATTGTTAATTCGTTTTATGATACATTTCTTATTTCCTGGTCACTTCCTTTTCAACCGAATCTTGTCTGTTTAAATGATAATCCGAATATTACAATCGTAGAAGAACCGATATATGAAACCACATCTATAGATGAATCACTACTTCAACAACATCTCGAAGAAGAATCAGATCATACCGGCGATGCTGTAGTCGATAATAAGGTAAATCCACGATCACAATTTGATCTTACAGAACATTTAAATAACACTGCGAAATCTGCTCATTCCGCTAAAGCTGATAAAAGTATCTCTGCTAAAGAAATGGAAATATTATCGTTGGAATACAATCCAATTCTCTCTCATTGTCCACAAGAGCCATTCCCCATAGCTTTAGTGAGTCGTTTACCGCAGGGTATACCTAGTATCAGAAATACAAACAATCCACAAGATGCAGCATGGATGAGTGCATTTCAATATGCTCAAAAATCGATTTTTATTCAATCTCCAACATTAAATGCTCCACCAGCTATTAATGGCATTGTTGCTGCATGCCGGCGTGGAATTAAAGTTACATTATGGCTTAATCTGGGTTTTAACGATTCAAAAGAAGGTCGTGGAACATTTCAAGGAGGAACCAATGAATGTGTCGTGAAAAAATTGTACAAAAGATTACGAAAAACGAACGATGGAATAGAGAAAAATCTTGAAACATTCTGGTACACTGCAAAAGGTGAGTTGATTTATGAATTATTTTTAGTTTTTCTTCAACGAGAAATATTTTTTTATAGATCAGATACGTCCTCTTCATTTTTTACAAAGAAAACGTAATTGTCATATTAAATTTATGTCAATCGATGGTCAAGTTGCCATTATGGGTAATGCTAATATGGATAGTTTATCATGGTTTCATTCACAAGTAAGTCAACAATATATTGATTATTACATTCTCGATGTATGAATATTATAGGAAGCTAATACAATGATTGATTCACCCGTGATCGTCAAAGAATGGATGGATGCTCTGTATAGAAATCAATCGACCAATGCTTACGGTAGATTGGATATCGATGGAATATGGCGCGATGCTCATGGAAAACTGAATCCTAAAAATGGAAAATAATGTTTAAACTATATTCTAATATATCTTTCCCGATGTTTGTATTTCATACTAGAGTATAAAAATGAAAAATGTCAAAATTTTTGAACCTTTTGTTTCATATTATCGCAAAAGAATAAACATGATTGATATAGAATTATAGTAACTATCTTTGCTTTCTAGAAAAAAGAGGATGTGGGTTTGAATGCAGTGTCCAAACCCACATCTTCAAGGAAACTCACATATCTACACAGAAGTTATCCATCATAATTGTGGTGTACTATAAATGTCAGACAACGTGGAATTTACAGTTTCATCTGATCTCGTCAATATGAATTCAATTCAATAATACCAGTGATGAATTAGCTACTTGAAGAATTATCGTTTGTTGATAGACTGTTATTGCATTTCGTTCTCCATTAATCAATAAAGGGTGGGTGTGAATGTGTTAAGTTAATTACGCACACCCACACCCTCACCCATACCCACATCCACCCTCAAGATGGAATTTGTAACTTCAGCAATATTTCTAAGAAAAATTCTTAAAAATTAAATAAATACATTTATTTTTCATTATACGAAGGAGTGTGAATTCATGAAGAATGAGATAACTTGGTAACAATAACATACTTTCTATCTACACTTTTAGTTGTCCATCAACTGCCACTCATCCTCAGTTTTAAATTTCCATTATTTATAATTTTATGAAAGATGTCCAGTTTTCTCATATGTGATAAAAAAAACAGCTCTTGACGATGTGGGGTATTTCATCTATAAAGCCACACCTATCCTTCTTCAATAATTAATAATAATCTATTAACTTTATTTAAAACTTTAAAAGGAATTTTATCAAATAATTGTGTCATTAATTTGTTGTATTATATTTTTGTTTCATATGATAATTTGGAGATAAAACCAATTGTGAAATTTATTCTATTGTTCTTTTCGATTGATTTCATGAAAAATATTCATTTATTCGATGAGAATAATTTAAAAATTGAAACTATTCCAATTCACTTTGTTATATATTAATAATAAATTTATTCTCAAATCATCTTCGATTCCAATAAATTGAAATTTTTGTTTATAGGATTTTTCTTTATTAAGAAAAATATAATTATTTCGACATAATCTTTGTTTAATCAGTTTATCGATTCGATGTATAATTTATAAAACAATATTGGTTTTTCACATGTCTTGTATTAAACTATTATGATATACAAGTATTTTTAATAAACTCATTTTCAATGTTCAACTTTTATTGAATTCAAAGATTTTCTTGTACATAGATATTACTGATTGACAGCAAATTTTCTAACTACTTTTATAGTTTTGTAGAATAAGATGGAAAAATGAAATATTTTACAAAATATATTTCTTTTTGTTTTGCATATTGATGGCTTTAAATACGTGCTAACTTCTAATATTCAATGCATAGAAATGATCCTAGTTATATAATCACAATGTCACCTCTGTTATCATTTTATATTCTGCATTAGTTTTTGATTAAAGATAAATGTGCAGCATAATCAGGTAGAGAATTAATGTTTTTTTCTTTTAGTATACGCTAATATACTAATAAATACTAAATTGAAAAATTTAGATAATTGTATTTAGAAGGTTTGGGTCTGTGTTAAACATGGAAAAAGAGTAAATCATAATCAGACACCTACACCCTCAAGATTTATCGATTTTGTCCCCAAGTGCATACTAAAATTGTGCATTCGATCAAATTTATATACATCCGAAAGTGATCTTCAAGGTAGACAAATAAAAATTATTTAAAGAATCTGATAATTTCGATGCAGGTTTAAGTCTTCCTCCTTCGATCAGAAGATAGAACGAACATAAGATGTACAAAATAGTTGTAGGGAACTTTGTATCGCACTGTCAATTTGGTGTCTGTCGACTATTAACATATTTGTTTATTTGAATCAATTTTCTAGATACTTTTTGCATCTTATTTCGATTTGTGTTGCACTATGGGCATGTCATTGAATTGATGTGATTTCTACCATCCACATGCTTTGATGCTGATCACTCGTATACCAATATAAAACACCGGACCCTGAGGATGTGCTTGACGAAAGGGTATGGATGTGGAATGGGATGTGGTTCAACTGAGGGATACCGAAAAGACACCCACACCCGACTATTTTATTAGAATTAAATATAGTGTGAGATAATGATTTTTATAGATTTCCATGTTGAAATAAAGTCATGTGCGTATGTAAAGGTGTACTATTCATTCTTACTCTGCATGCCGGCTGTGAGTGATTGTGAGGTAAGAGAAGCTAGACATTCACACCACGAGATAATTTGATAGTACATATTCGGCGTATGAGAAAACAACGTCGCTATAATCTTTCATCGGTTGTCGGTCTGAGATATGGTACAATATGCTTGGATCTATTTCCTTCTCAACTCTTAGTATTTGGCATTGGAAATTTTTTATAAATACCTTTTTTCTTGAAGGTGTGGGTAGAAGTATTATATCTATCAAATACTCACCCTCAAAACGGTTTCAATATCATTCCCGGAAAAAATCGTCTGTTCTCATTTTCACTTTCTCACCCAGAAAAAGAACTTGTCTGTCTTCTCCGTTGCATTCTGATTTTCCGAAGAATCGTTTCGGTTGCATTACTTTATTCTCTTTCACGAATAAAAGTTGTTTTTTTTTCTCACACTCACTTTCCCGGAAAAAGCTATTTCTATTTCTGTAAGAAGAAAAGAAATAATTTCACAACTCGACAATAGGTAGTAGGTCTGGTGTTGCTTTTTGTCTTTCAACACACTCACAGCTAAAGATAGAAGGTTGTTTCAAGTATTTATCTATTCAACGGAGTTTTCAACTACTTGGCAGAATAAGGGTAAGAAGAATAATCTCATCCTTGCGTACATCAACTACAGAATAAACGAAATAATCCAGTTGAGCATAGTCGATATTTTGAAGGATTTATGGTCCGGAAGAGTGTGAGAACAATCTTGTGGATGTAGGCAAGGACTAAGAAAAGATACCCCATACGTATCCTAGAGTAGTAACAGGAGGCTTCCAAACCTTGTAAGCACTATCAGCATACAATCCCCAAAAGGTTGTAGAGACCACCGCTAAGTATCAGGGACCATTTTGAGGATGTGGATGTAGATAAAGAGTAACGATTCTCACTCACCCACATCCATTCTTCTTTCAATGTAATAAATGACAAACTATCAAGTGTGATAATATATTTCAATTTATAGTAGAATTTTTTACACTGATTTGTTAATAAATTCATTAGAATTACAGTTGACAATGGATTCTTGGGAACAGTAATTTTATGTTTGATTGATAAGTTTTTTAAAAGACCTCTCTCACATCTAAATGAGGAAAGGACAAGCAGAAAAAAGACAAGCCAATATGATATCTTTAGAGCCGTCTTTTTTAAATTAATCCTTGTTTTGTTTTCTTTTGAAACGCTTTTCAGTACTCTTGCAGTACAAATAAAACTAGTTTCATCTTTTTACCCTGTACTGGAGTGAAAGATTCGTTCTTTCACTACACTACGTCAGTTCTTGAGGTGAAAGAACGAGAAAAATATATTGTCGCAAAAAAGAAACAAACAATTTTTTATTCTTTCTTTAAATGAAAAAATGTTTCTCTTTACTAAATACGAGATTGAATAGAAGAAGGAAGTAATAGAAAAAGAGAATGCCGTCTGTTAACCTTCAACAACACATTATGAGTTTTGTGATAAATAGAAATTTTCATCAGCGCCGACCGTCGCTTACATTATATCGTGTTATTTTTGACGAGTAAGTAGAAAATATAAAATTACAGCATACACAGAGCAGCTGAATTACGGACGAAGTAGTATGCAATTACTGCCTAATTTTTCTTTGATATAATATTATTGAAGAAAAAAAATAATTTTTTTTGTTTTCAACCAACTCGATCCTACCTTGACGAATCAGATTTTTGGAAGGAAGAAAGTATATCACATCGTGTCATTCATCTTTGGAAAGAGAGAGGAGAGAGCCGTTTCAAACAACGTTTCCTTCGCAATATTAATTTAAATAATCAAATACTTGGTGAGTATTGTCTGCCATAAATAGAAATCGGATGAAATCTAATACTAACTGGATTTAAAGCGTTTTCTCATTGGTATACTTACAAAGAAATTGGAAAGTCATTAAAAATCCACAAACAACGTATTTTTCGAATTAATTCTTGATTTCATCTTTGTAACTTCTATCATTTTTCAAATGATGCTACTCTAATCTGCCATACATACTTTTATATAAAATCAGAGATGACAATTTTAAACTGTTTTGTGGCAGATACATAACTTAAGTAGAAAAATATCTTTCTGAAGAAGAATGACGTATTCGTCAAAAACAGTAAGTATAAAATAAGTGTAGGTAGTCATTTCTAATAGAGTTGGAGCTAGTCGACTTTTTCCGCTTGATCTCAAGCAGTTATAGCGACAACATTGTTTAACTTGCGAAGAGGGTGTGGGTGTGGATGGACGTGGAACTTTTCGCCCTGGATAGTCATACCCACATCCACACCCACATATCTACTAATATTAATATGCCTCTGTTTTTAGAATCTTAGTATTGTCTTATTATGTCTATGAATGAAGAGGATTTGAACGAAATCATGTTGCATAGTATCAATTTGATTGCGAAAGAACGAGCGGAGAATGATCCAAAAACGCATCTTGAATATATTCTTGAAGTAAAATTTTTTATTTTTATCCGCAATATCCCAGTGAAAAATGACCATGAAAAAAAACGGTAGAAAACGCATTCGTAAAAACATGGAAACTGATCCTGCATTAGGAAAACGCTTTCTGCAGTTTAACGAAAGCATTCATCAATGGCAAAAAAATGTTTAGTATTTAGTGGAACCCATTCTTTGCTGTTCCATATTATTATAGAATGCTTTCTTCTCGATTCAAAAATCGTTCTTCGACTGATCAGAAAGCGTTCTAGCCCGTTCCAAAACCTAGTGGAATGAGTTTTTTATCATTCTTTCTTGGAACGATTAGACCCGGATTCCATTAAAATGAGATCGTTTTCTTTGACGTTCCTTAAAAAAACGTCTGCGAACGAATTCTTTGAATTGATAAGTGCATTCCAGATAACCAAATATTATTTCTAACACGAATAGAATGAATCCGTCGCCGTTCTTTAAATTATGGAACACTTTCATCTAAATTTAACGCCAGTTTTGGTTCAAAACTATCTATGCTGAAGTACGATAGATTAAAATTAACATAAAAAATGGAAGAACATTCGCTAGGTTGTACTTCCCAGCTGACACACTCAATTTTCAAAAAAAATATTTCATGCCATAATTTCTATAGTTTAATCTAAAAAAAATCTGAGCATGCCATTGGATAGAGCTCGTAAAGTTGCATTGGAAGAGGTCTCTCGACGAATTTTATACTTACTGCTCTTTGAAGATTATTGTAGAGAATGTGCATGTAGATGATAATTATCGGGAACGCTTTCCAGAAAAATAAATGTCCGTTTTTCCTGAAAAAGAGCGTTCCAGAAACAGTGGAATGTGTTCTTGACCGTTCCAGAAACAGTGGAATGCGTTCTTGAACGTTCCATGTTGGAACACGTTCCAAATTTTGTGGAACGCTTTTTTTTCTTAAAAAAAGCTGACTTTTTTTTTGGAACGTGTTCTATACCGTTATTTTCAATGACTATTTTTCACTGGGTTAAGTTAATTGGATCATTTTCGTACTACTATCTTTCTTTCAGGAACTGAAACTGTCTGAACATGACTTACCTACCGACCCATTTAAAACAAAAACTGTTGTTCTAGTAATTAATAGTATGTGTTGCTAAATTTCTTCGGCGAATATCTGCTTTCTAGGGACACGCTCTTGGAAGAGGCTCATTTGGCAATGTATACTCAGTGGTTGGACATCCGCATCTCGCTGTCAAACGAATGAAAATTGGTTTAAGTGAGAATGATAAACTAAATATGGCTAGTGCTAGTTCTGATACTTTTGCGGAAGAAATAGAATTGGCATTTAACGAGAGAAAGGCGTTTTACCTCCTTAAGTGTGTTTCAATAATACACCTTTATGGTTATTCTCTCGATAAATATGCACAAGATGGCCCTCCAACATACATGTATTTAATTATGGAGCGATGTCACTGTTCGTTGGAGGATGTGTTCAAGGATCCAAGCATACTTCAAATATCGGACTGTCGAATACCATCTGATCAACTGCGCTGTTATTGTGTTGCTCTGCTCGAAGGACTTCGTATTCTACATACAATGAGACCATATCTATACAAGGAACCGACTGTTCTTGGGAATATTGTGCATGGGGACATCAAACCAGCTAATATTTTGGTTCGCATGACATCTCTTGGCCCGTTTTTGGTATTTGCGGATTTTAATCTGAGTAAAACACCTTTCTATGAGCTAAAACAAGGCAGCGGAACTAGATTATACCGAGCTCCAGAGGTAAAAGGCAGAGAGGATATAGGCATTGCTTCTGATGTCTATTCACTTGGAGCGACGCTTTTGGAATTCTTAGTTTTCGCAACACAAAATTTCACTGTTAGTGAAAATTTTATAGAATGGCGTCGACGTCTTAACAAATCAGAGACAGGGTACGATGATAATTTTCACTATGTTGAAAAGTTTTTGTTAAAGATGATCATGTCTACCTTGCCTGATTACAAAAGTTACGCACATATTGCCAAAGCGGTCAAATATCTCATGCTTTCAAATAAAAAGACACGTTCTGAAAACGCTATTGAGAAAGTTCTATTGGATTATTTGTTACCTAAAGAAGTGCATCATCTGCATTCGGAACTAGCCGTCGCAGAATACACTGGAGGACAGGCTCGTCATTTAGGTCCCCGTGATTATGTGCTTCCAAGCGGAAAACAAACCGAACGAATTCTAGACGTGAAAATAAGTGAAGCTGTCGCTCGTGATGTTCTGCATACTCTGAATAACCTCCGCCAAGATGGGAATGGAATTTCTTCGATAGCCTTAGGAGTGCTTGGTCCTTATCAGAACCCGAATATTCCAGTGCATATTCTTGCTCTTTGCCAAGCTATTGAGTCTGCTTTGTCATTTCCAAAGTAAAAATCCATGTGTGCTTTAGTTTACTGTGTATCAAAAAGCTTGATTAACATTATTTTTGTGATCAGTGCATGTTTTTGTAAGTTTAAGATCATATGAATAAAGTACTTAAATACTACAGAAAGTCACGATGCAAGAACTACCTCGTTCCAACTTTACGGTTTACCTTGGTTCCTGAATTCACAACTTGTGAGGCTGAGTTATTTAACTGAAATAAAAAAAACAGAATACTCTAAAAACAAAGGTATTGTACAAAACCAACAGAGTATCTTCTCATAGGTGCACGAAAAGATCTTTTTTTCGTTTTGTAAAAGGAAGGCTTCGTATAAAATTCCTTCCTGAACGGAGAAAACGGTTTCGTATGCAAAGTGCAGTATGAAGCGCCTGTTAGAAAAAGACCAAAACGTTTTTGTAACAAACCTTTATAGGAAAAAGGAAAAAAAACGTTTTTGAAACCGTACAGGACTAAATCTTTCTATAACGATATCCAAAAGATTTCGCAGAAATAGTTTTATACATCACTCCTGAGGATGTCTATGTGGTGTGAAGATATGAGTGTGAGTGAAGGTATCAGTGGCCGTTCTTTCTTCTCTCATCCTCATTCACACTCTACAAAATTCTCTGTAGATGAATAGTTCTCTTCCGACATGTTTGTAAATACACTTATATAAGGTGATGGTAATGATAATTGAAGGGTAGGGGTGTGGACAGGGGCGGGGGCTGTCGGGAGTGTAACACTCCCCCCCCCCCCAATCTTCGAAAATTTCTATTTTTTGCTCAACAAAATCGGCAAATCTTCTTAGTTTTTTACCAAAGATAATACTACACCCCCAGAAACTCAAAAAAATTTCGCTACACCCCCTCCCCCAAATTCAAAACGTTTCGTTACCCCCCCCCCTCCGCCCTCTAATATTAGCTGACTCGCGCCACCCCTGAGCGTGAGTGTGAGAATAGGTGTGGATGTGAGTGTGGTTCTGTAGGTGTGGGTTGTGGGTGTGCGTGAGGAAGAGCGGTTGAAGATGCGAGTATGAGTGTGGCTGTATGGATGCGGTAGTGTGGATGAGGGTGTGGCTGTAAACGAAGTAGAGAGTCACTCACAACCACACCCATACTCTCAAGGAACCGTAAAAACATGTATTATAGAAGGAAAAAAATAACTTTCTCATTGAATGGTAGTGTATCGCTATCTACTAGTGTCGCGTGGTATCATATTTGTAGTACCCGCTTTGAGGAGTCCAACTAATTAAGGGAAAACAAGGACGCTATTGTAGAAGTACACGGAATCTTGTCATGGTAAGCCGATGTAGCCGCAAATAGAAAACAAGTATTTTAAATGTATAATATTCTCTTTTTCATTATATTCTTAGGATACTCTTTTCGACTTTGACATTTATGATATGAAAACTAGCGTTCGACTTTTTGTACAAGCGAATTTATTTCAATCCATGAAATAACTTGAGGGTGTGAGTAGTGCAGGTGTGATTGTGTGGTGACTAGAATACTCACATTCACTCTCAACATGGCTGAGAAATCTTCGAAATGCGTCATAAGATCCACCATCCGAGAAAAACGCAAATCAAGTTTTGAAATGTGTGATCTTGTCTTATCCTAACCTGCACACACACCCTGAATATTTTTCAATCTTATTTAATCTTCAACATCATATACATAATATATGTGCGTCATTGAGAAAAAAATTCGTTTATCGAATAATAATAATTCTTTTCATCGTATTTTATATTTCAGATCTAATTATTGATAGTGCAGTAAATTATAAAAAAAGATCTAAAAAAGCAGATTATAAGATTCTCTATAGGTAAGTAGTTCTATTCCGAGATATTTGTAAATACGCTTGTATAAGGTGGTGGTAATGATAATTGAACAAAACTAATTGGATCATTTAAGTCATCAATTTGTGATGCAGAAGAAGTAATAATAACATTAGCAGCTAGATTAAAAAAGATATAAGATTTTGAAGAAAAGACATCATTCTTACGAGCAACTTTTGAAGATTGTGCATGTTTCTGTTGTTTGTAAAAATATAATACGATAATAAATGTAATAAAAAGACAAGCTGTACATAGAAAACTAGAAAGGATGGGAAAAAAATATACAAAATTCTCAAGTAACATTAAATAAAAAAATTACATCAACATCCAATGATAATTAAGTATAGCTATTATTGTTTGTGTTGATATTGAATCAGAATATAATAACGATGATATATTACATCTAGAAGAAACTTGTAAATAAATTAAATGAATTAAAAGAAAAAAAGTATTATTTTAACCGATTAGAATGAAGCCAGTATAAGTCACTTAAACTGTATTGAGAACATGCATCCGTATTTGCCTAAAAAAGATATTAATTTCAAAATAAATTCAGTATTATATTTAAAATATATTTACAATTTGTATGTTTGAAAATAAACATAATGATATAAAAAATGAACTTAAAGAATATAAATATTTCATGCTTATCTTCGTTGTAATATTCATCCAATGGTTTGTAATCATGAAAAGATTGATGCTATATATATATATATATATCATAATTTATTAGAAAAATATTTTGCGTGTGTAGATATGAGAAGAAAGTACTCGTATACGTTTATCATATTTTACTATAATGAGAGTAATCATTGAGATGTGCATCATAGCAAGAAATAATTATAATCTCAGATTAGAGCAAAAACAAAATATTCATGTGAAAAATTAATTTAGTTTAGAACTCGACGTTCATGATAAAAATGAATTATAAAATTACTTAGAATTTATATATTTTACAAGAAAGACATTCTTTATGTAATCTGTAATAATCTGCTGGGACCAATAGAAATGTTCATTGAATGCTGGAAACAAATATATGTAATATGTATAAGAAGAATAAATCGAAGCTGAATTATTTTGTATTATTTCTATTAACAATATAATTAGAAAAGAATCTAACACATTTCTTCTTGCATCATAATGAAGACATACAATTAAGTAATAATTGTTGTTATGATCGATTTTTTGAGGGTGTGGATAATGTGCTGACTTACATCCGCCCCTACCGTACCTGTTTAATTTTACATGTAGTTTATATAAGCTTAATATCATATGCAAATTAAAAATATTTAGAAAATTATTTTCCTTTTCTTGTCGTTGCATCATGTGTATATCATCGCTGAAAAATCATTTTTGTCAGTACGCCAAATGAGTTGCAACGTGGCTATTCTGTTCTTTGTACTGTAACGTCATCTATGTCTTTCTCAACATTTCATGACTCATTCTTAACTTTACATCTTATCTGCATATATATTTTTTCTTTCTATGACTATATAAGACACGTTTTTGTTTCGTAATAAAAATACACTTTTTTTATTGTGATACTATTATAGAATGACTATTCGAATCGTATCGTATAATATTTTAGTACCTATATATGCTGATCAACCTGAATATTTTTTTAAATGTCAACCAGAATTTCTTAAAACTGATTATCGATGGAATTTAATTGAATCTCAATTAGAACAAGAAATCGTCAATCATGAAAACACAATCATTTGTTTACAAGAACTTTCTCTTACTCTATTTCCAAAATTCGAATTATTTTTTCGTCGATTAAATTATTCATTAACTCATAGTCTTTATGGTCAGCAATACAATGATTATATGGGTGTAGGCATTGCAATTCCTATATCGATGCAATTAAAAACTGTTTCTATAATTAAAATGGGAGATCACTTAAAATCAATGAAAAAATCTCAAGGAAATACATGGAATATATTCTTACGAGGATGGAATTTATATCAATCTATGATGAGCAAAATTAAACTTTACGCAATTGATCCATGGGAACTTGCTATGGGTAGAAATAATACTCTTATTTGTTTACAAGTTCTTATCGATAATAAACCATTGTATATTGGAACATATCATATGCCTTGTATGTATAAAGAACCTAATGTAATGGCAATTCATTCTTCGGTTGTGAAAGATTTAATGTTTGAATTAGTCAATGGACAAGATTTTATTCTAGCAGGTGATTTTAATATCAAACCACGAGATATCTGTTATAAAGTTTTAACTGAAAAAGATTATACCGATTATACTTTCCCAAAATCTAATACTTATGAAATATCTTATCAACCAGATACTCAGCAAATTTTGAAAAGTGCTTATCGAGAAAAGAATGGAACTGAACCTGCTTATACAAATTATGCTTATACACAAAATACTCCAAACTTTTGCGAAACACTTGATTATATATTTTTTAATGGTCATCTTACAGTAGAAAATGTATTGGAATTACCAGATCGTCCTCTCAGTGAATCTTATCCAGATGAAACGCATCCTTCAGATCATTTAATGATTGCAGCAACATTTCGATTATCATAAATGAATACTTATTAACAATACAATGTACAGATGACATTTGATTTATCAATAAAGTATATGTGATTATATTTATAATTTATATTATGATAAAAGATCATGATCGACCCTTTTCTTCTTTTGATTCTCCAAAATAAAAATTTATCTTTCATTATTTTCTATATGAAAACATTTGCTTTTATTCTTATCTTATAAAGTGAAATTCTTTGGTGGTATAACTTGAACGTATTCTTAATCGCGTAGTTTATATTGTCAGTGAATATCGAATTTAGATAAGATTCCATGTTATATTCAAAAAATAAAATGAAATAAGACGAAGATAATGTCTTAGTATTATCTGGATATTAAATTTTACTTCTGGCTATTTTTTTTCTTTCGAGCAAGAACTGAACCGGTAAATGTTAGGCAAATGTACAAAAGAAATAGAAAGTGAAAAGTAATTGTGTAAATAATATTTTTGAGCTGAATTTTTTAATGTAATAAATGAGTGAGAAAGAAAGTGAAGATATTTTTTCCTAATTAGAAGTCAAGTAAATCTAAGCTTTATTCATAAGAAACAATTTTTTCTCTTTTCTTTTCTAATCAACATTCTGATATTTTTTGTATATAGAGGCATTCAATAAGTGGCACTCATATAGAAAACAATTCAATCGCATACGTTGTGACTTCAATACAAAATATTTGCAACAAAAAAAAATAACGTTGAGATAGAAACAATGAATTAACGGTCTTTCTTTTGTATTAAATTTTAAAAAGATCTGCCATACGTAAGCTAGTATCTGTTGTAAATATCAAGCATGAATCAACTGCCAACAAACTCTTCGAGATAGAATGTGTAGACACAATGCTTTGGCTACCATAAAAACGTGGTTTTAGCAAAAACAATACTCAACATCAGTGTTTTTTTCAAGGAAATACAGGGCTTCCTGAAATAAGTAATTTTACTATATTAAATATATTTAGAAATATATGGAGTTCTGCTGTGACTATGTTGTTAATCATGAAATCAATGCTGAAAGAATACTACAAGAGCAAAACATATTAATAATAGATTCAGATGATCAGTATATGTCAGATAATAGGATCTTCACTCAATTCTCATAGTCATACTCAATAGAAGTTTCAATATCTCAAAGATTCTATTTGCTAATACAAAATAGTTCTTTGGCAAAAAGATCTATTCAAAACAACTGCTTATTGATAGAGATTAGTTGTGGATACAAAATATTCAACAACCAAGTCCATATTATCACATACTCTACGTAGAAATATTGTGTTGTGATGATTGGTAAAAAATTTATGGATATTTGAAAAGAGTATGGTCTATAAGATGAATGATAAATTAAATTATTTATATTTTTAATGAACTTTATTTATTGTTAATGAAAAATATATCAGAAGCGACAAAAAATAATTAATTATTAAAAGTCATTTTATCATCAAAAACTGTTTTAGTCAAGATCAATAGCAAATTTTTGTATTCGATGGTTGAACCAATCGACAACATAAAGATTACACTCTCGATCAAATGATAAATCTTGAGGGTACATGAGCTGTGGGGGTCTGTTTCCCCATTCACCGTCATTAACAATAACAGTGCCTTTCTCTGTATCTGGCGACCAACGTGTTATTTGTAGACCTTGCGCATCCGACACATAAATATTACCGATATGATCAACAAGTATACCTACGGGTGTATACCGTCGAGAATTGAGATTCTTATCAGAAACTTGCACTGGAGCAACGAGAAGGTCTTCGGTGGCGTTTTTCATCCATTTCATTACACGACGATTCATAGAATCTGCTACATAAACTGAGTGATAGTCATCGACGAAGATATATTGAGGTTCATTAAATTGATTAAGTTGATTTCCTTGTCCACTTCCACCTGCGACAACTGTACCTTCTTTATCTCCTTCTCGCCAACGTCTGATTTGATGTTTATAAGTTTCTGAAATATAAAGATCTCCATTATTATCCATTGCTAAACCGAAGCAACCAATAGAAATTACTAATATTTGTCCATATTGATTATTTCCACGAGACCATCGCATAATTCGTGAGTTGCCCCGATCACAAACGATGATATATTTCTTCTCTTTATCAAGAATTACATCTGTTGGAGACCTCAATTGGTTTAATGCGTCTCCAGGTCCATTTCCACCTGCAACGATTTCACCATTGTTCGCACCAAATTTCCATCTAACAATACGTTGGTTCTCACTATCAGCAATATAAAGATTATGATTATAATCGTCGACATAAATGCCAAGAGGGTGATCTAATTGATTTAATCCATTTCCCAATCCATGTCCTCCAGCAACAGTAGATCCATTCTGTTTCCATTTCGTATTACTATTAATAATAACAGAAGGAAGTAATTGTTCTAAAAAAAACATAGTTTGTTTCATTGAACATATAAATCATGAGAGGGATAGGTGTGAATATAAATGGATGAACTATGAATTCAATACTTCATTCTCATTTATCTTTTAGTAAGTCTTTCAATATTATTTTATAGTAGTATAATTTATGACTGCCGATATCGAAGATTAAACTATTTGTAATAAAAAACTAATTAGTTTTAACATAATCATACCACCTGCTGCTGTTATTTCTGCTGTTGTTGTTGTTGTTATCTCTGTCGTTATGTGCATTGTTGATGTTTTTTCTCGTTTAGTTTTGTTGACTGTAAAAATAATTGTTGGAATAACTATAATTACAACAACAAAACTAATTATGAAACATATTATCCAAGTTAATTTTCTTTTTCGAAAATGTTCATATCTAAAATAATAAATCATTTTGATGATTTATTGTAATTCATAATATATACATACAATGTCTGTAATTGTGTTCTATTAGGATTAACTACTACAGGCTAAAATATTTTAAAAATAAAATAAAATTATTTTTTTTCCGTATTTAATACATTACTTCTTCAATTGCAACTCTGTTATTCATGTTCGTGTTGTTGGCTTCTTCGAATTTTAAATATTTTTGCAATCTAAAATCGCAAAAAAAAAATATTTTTTTCTTTAAAGATCATTTTTTAACATTGATATAATTATAGAGAATATAAAACTATCTTGATGTATTCATATGTGAAATGATTAAAGCTAACTTTAAAATAATATAGATTTCTCTACTTCTTATCAATTAAATAATCAGTTCAACATGTTGCGACATTTGCCATAAACAAAAATCCTAGATCAATAGAGAATAGAATATTTATGTTGTACATAACACATTCAACAGGATTCAGTTTTTTTCTTGGAAAACTTTTCCAGATGCTCGTTTTCATGAACACTTTACAGTGGGGGATTCGTGAGCGGCATATTCAGCGCGATTGCATATCCTATCTAAATTCATTTTTTAAATTTTTTTCAGCAAAAATAGTCCGAAATTAAAAGAACTTGAAGAACACTTTAACGCCATGTTACAATCATGAAAATCTTCAGCAGTATCGGTTTACTCAGATGTTGTTTCTAAGTAACCACGTTTTTCAACAAATTCACCAATGATTCACTCTTTCTTTTTATTCTATTAAAAAAATGTCAATGAATTCTTTTCCTTTTTTTCTTTATCTACACATGACTAAACGATGAACGACAATAGCTAGTATTATATTTTTCAAATTAAATTAAATTTTAAAAAAGAAATGAATATATTATGCTTATCGTTTGTGAAAAAAAAACAGACGTTATTTGTAATGTAGCAAGTTTCGTCTATCAAATCTCTCCTATGTATAAAATCAACATTAACGACCTTGAAAAAAAATGCATTGCTGACGACCATAAGTCGTCTACGTCATATTTTTCTTTCCATTAAACGTGACGTGCATTTCTTGTGTTGTTTGTTGCAGTCTCTACACTCATTACATATGAATAAGCACTGAACGATGAAATATGTTGCAATAAAATTTTAAGTCATTTTTTATTCTTTTAGAAATTCATTTTAACATTATTTATTTTATCTCATCAAATAATAAATCCAATGATTGTTGATCCTACAAATAATTCCAACTCAATTCAGATACCATTCCTACCAGTACAAGGTATATAGAATTCTTTTTTAAATTTCTTAATAATGTATTTTCTTATATTTTAAAAAAATTAGGTGAATGTTGTAAAGCAGCATTTGATGCAACTTATCCTCAACAACTAACTGGAATAATTACAATCAATGAATTTCAAGAATCAATAGAAAATATTAATAAAAAAGTTTCTATTAAGAGATCTATGATAATTCTCATTATAATTAGTGCTTTTACTTTATTCCTTTGTTTTCCTCTTGGAATAATGATTTTATCATTTCGACGCCATACTAAGATGCGACGAGCAATTGAAGAAGAATCAGCTAAATATTCTACGCGATCATCAAAACCATGTCGTTGGCATTTAGATGTTTCTGCATATTATGCTGGCATGTCTAGAGGTCGCCAACAATTTGGAGCCGTCTCTTGTGTAAGTATTAGGAATACTTTATAGATATTTGTAATTTATTTATTTTTAGATAATGATTGATATTGGAGGTTCTGCCGTTCCAACAAATCAAACAGCTACTCAACCACAATCATATTTCAATTAACCAGATGGGAAATTTTTGTTTACAGTGCGGAATACCACGATAAAATCGAACAAAAAATGCTGCATCTTTAACTACTATATTAAATTAGTTTTCTTTATATATTTTTATTATTTTCATTGATATTAAGCATGAGAGAACAAACGATATCTGAAATAAAACTCAAATGAATTGTGCTATAAAATAGTTTATATTTTCAACATTTAATAATCATAATCAATATAGGAATCTTAATACACTTCGTTACTGGATTAAATATTATTTAATTAAGGGTGTGGATGTGAGTTCCATTAATAGATGAATATCACCCATACCCACACTCACACTGTTATCACTTATATCATATTTAATAGTATGTCTCAACGTACAATTTGTTCTCATTAAATATGTATCGAATTACAAACGAAACTATAATCATTGTTTTAATATTATTTTCTTTACTACTAATTTCTGAAATATACATTTTTTGTCAAATTTCTATACTGATAATAGATAGAATTTATTAGATAATATTTATACAACATTTAAAGCTATATTACGGATAACATATAAAATATTTTCTGAAAAATTTGTTCGAAACGAAGAAATATTGCTACTAAGTCAACTATGTATTTTCTTTTGTAATTCTATTTGATTTATATGAACATGATGATAGTGCACATTGATTATAATAATTTTCATAAAATTTATTAATTATATATTCTTCAACCATGAGATTACTTAAAATTGATTGAATAGTTGTTTTCGTCTGATATTGACTTGTTTGTTTGAAGAAGAGATTCTAGTGGATAACAACCAGCCATCATATCGTGTGCTGATTGAGTATATATCCATGATGATCCACAATTACATTTTCCATAATTAGAAATAGATTCAGAAGCGATTAACCAGTTAACAGACCATACAGTAATAATCATATTAGCATCTATAGTTCCAAGATTTACATTCAGAATATTTAATAATGAATTTTGTGTAACTAATTGAAATTGATTGATCTATGTTTGAATTAATATGATATCGATATATCAGAACAAAAACATTGAAGTAATTAAGAATAATTTAATGATAAATATTCATAAGTTGAAAATGTAGGTTTATGAATCTCAACAGTTACTAATTTTGTTGTATGTATAATAATATTTTCAGAAAAAATATTTGAAGTCGAGTGATCATTTGTTGTTCATTGTCACATATAAATAAATTTTTTATTACTGTTTTCATTGCAACAAATGAGAGATTATTCCTTATTTTTTCGCTAGCACGAGGAATAAGAATAAAAAAACTTTTTATCTACACTCACACCCTAGTTGTCAAATCGAAGGAAATAGTATGAGCTTTTGTCAATATTATTCCAAGAATTTAGAAAAGTTTGAAAATCATGAAGAAATATTGATTACCGACGAATTAGTCGTTGCCATCGTCTGAATGTTTCTTGAAATGTTTTTCTGTACAAGGCTGAAGGAAGGACAAAGACAATGAAGACAAGCATTGATGGAGTAAATGAGATGAAATAACCAAAAATAAATAACAACCTATGGTTTGATGGATTGACACATTCCGATAACATTGACATAATCAGACGGGGTACGGACAGAATGAGGAGAACGATCGGACTGATTAATAATTGTTTGTGTTCACTAAACTGATTATAAACATGTTCTCTTAGAGTTCGTCTTGCCTGAGCTGCTGATCGTTGTCGAGCTGATCCAAATATGATGAATAAAGCAGAACAAAGATTGATAATACATGGAGCGACAAGATGAAAAAATAAGATGATTGTATTGTATTGTTGAATAGCAGGAGAATAACGAGTTAAACACCATCTATCGATATTCACTTTGTTCGTCTCTATATTTACCTCATGTAATTCTCGATATATAGGTTCGTGAATGATTGAACCCATGATACAGAATGGTAAAATGAGGATTATCCATCGAGCTATACGTTGACTTTTCTGTTTATTGAAGTTGATCCCTTTGAAAACAAGAATTGCTCTTTCAACAGCTACACAAGCATTGAGCCATGCATCCAAATATAGACAAAGCTTGAGAAGAGGTTCGATCGATACACAACCTCCTCGAACAACAGAAAGACGAATCGATAGATTCATTTGAGTAAGAACAACAAACCAAAACTTCACTGCAAACATACTGATTGTAAGAAAAGATGTAATTGATGACGCCAAGAGATAGATACCACATCCAACTTGTCGTAGATCTTTATTTTGAAATGTTAATATAGACAACAAACTATTGATGAAACCACCCACAAACATAATCATCATTGAAGTAGCATTGATTTTCATCAATACTGTTTGATCAGCCATTGTCATGTTTGGTCGGATTTCGTCACGGAAAATGTCATCGAGAGTGATACCAATACTTTTTTTGTAGAACTGACATTTCTGACCAATGAAACAACTGGTCAAAACTTGCGCTGAAGAAAGAAATGCATAGTTATCAAGCGATAAGATCAATCTTTCTCAACTCAAGGATGTCATATAGACGCAAATTTGTAAGCAACAATAGTCTATCAAAGTAATTTACCTATATATGAGATGTTCTGTCAGGATAGATTTGTATATTCCTACTTTAGTTCAATATCTCATGATAAATTTACTCAATTGTGTAAAGATGTTTCTGCATATGAACTCGACAAAATTTTTAAAGATTACAAGGCAATTAAACCTCAGATAATGTGAAATCATTAAAGAATAGAGCTTCTCGAATATATAGGTGATGTGAGAAGAAAAATTGTATTGATTTACCAAACTGATTGAACTTGTACAATCCATATGATCATGACTGCTCTATTTTTGACAATAATTCTATTGAATTACACGATTTATTTGAAATTCTGAGATTCTTTATTATTCAAGAGTGAAAATGGAGTTCAGTGGGATGTTGTAATTCTCTGTTGATGATTTACAAATAATACAAAATACTTACTGTAAGGATGAAGAGTGATATTATTGGGACCAGATGTTACAATGGAGAAATTTCCTGTGTCATTTGGAGCAGATGTTGTCACCACTAATATGTATTTAGTGCCAGTGTGAAGATAAGCGATGATCTCGAAATCACGAAGATTACACCTTCGATAATCCTGTGAGAGTAGATTCTCGAAAGGACTCATTGGATTAAAATCATCTTTGTAAATATTACCAAATGTATATATACGGCTCAAACTAATAAGAGTATAGTATCCAGCTCCCATTACATTCATTCGTATCGTTTGATAGTAATAATTTGATTGTCGACAATCTCGTGAATATGTTTGACTATTCGCAGTCAGCTCTCCTGAGTACTTCGATTGGATGGGTGATGGATAACCTACGTGATGAGAGTAATAAGCAACAGTCAAAATTCGTGATAGATCTCAATTGATTGAGAGAGAGACAAATAATCTGAATGTACGAAAGAAAATTGAACATCATAAGTCATCTCTCATACATCCTGAATATCGGAAAATATGGCGATTTTGAGCCTACATGTCTAACGAGACGGCTCTTTATAATATTTCTCTCAATGAAATAGTTAAGTTGTAAATGGAAAGTAAAGATAGAGTCTATGGACATATTTCTGTAATCGAACTCTCCGTAATATGTAGTAGAGTCTAATTCTACTACTGTTGTGATTTATTCAAAAATTAAAGTATGTAAAAATTTCCTATAGATTCATAAAAAGTAAGAATATGTTTATATTTTTCATCTATGATAAGGTGTATTTAAATGCATGCAGAATTTTTCTATTATAGGGGTAATGAGTGATAGAATAGTTTATAATAATTAGCAAACTTTTTTTCATTTCATGGTCACGAGCAATGGTTCCTGTTAATTTGTATATGATTCACATCAGATTAGTAATCGATTGAAACGGGTCTGTAATCAAGAAGATTGTCCTTATCCTATTTATAATATTCTGTTATTTGATGGATTTAATGTAGCTGTTTATATAAAACTTTCTTTTTATAGTAAAAATATTATCTTACAAAGCAAGCCTTTATTTGTGGATATGCCAAACTCAACTAAATTCTCACGTTAAAGTTGGCAATATCCAATAAATAGATGTAGTGCAAATACTTACGAATACTCTTGAAATCAACGATGTCTGGCCCAGATACAAAGATTAAGAATGCATTTGTCACATTGGGGTTAGATGCTGTTATAATCAATATATATATAATACCATACTCAAGAGCAATTATGAATTTAAAATCGTTTTGATAGCAGATGTTCTCATCGAATGAGAGTCGATTTTCATATGGATTGAATGGATTGAAATATTCTTTGTAGATAAAACCGTAAGTAACTATATTGCTTTTGCTGAAGAAAGTGTAAAAACCACTTCTGGTGACATTCACTTCTATCGCTTTATAGCGATGACTTGTCGGCTCACAACTACGAAAATAAGTTGAACTATTCGTTGTAAACTCTAATGCATACGTTGTTTGAACAACTGATGAAGTATTCACTAACGAAAAAGAAATTCGGTTCGATTTTGTATAATATGGAAACAAATATAAACAATTTGAAATATTATTTTCACTCTCAAATACATTTACCGAAAACTACTGGGAAATGATATGAATCTTAGTCTCTATCGAATAGAAATATCTGTATATCATTTTTTAGATTGAGTTTATCTATATTTTCTATCAACGATGAATATATGTAACTGATTATTCATTATAATACTATAGATACTCACAAATACGATTGAAACCGATATAGTTTGGGCTATATACTTGAATTGAAACATTTCCTGTTATATTTGGAGAAGATGTTGCCATAACAAAAATGTATTTTATGTTGGCTTGAAGAAAAGCTTTGAGTTGAAACTGGCCTGCATTGTCATTGTTTCCATCATAAGTGAGCCGATTTTCTAACCAATTAAATACATTGAAACTACTTGTATATATGTAACCATATGTGGCTTTCATCTCGCTATTGATTAGAAAAGTATAATAGCCAGTTACAGTGATGTTCATTTGTATCGTTTCAT